ATATTCTCCCAGTACGGCCCTCGCACTTGGTTAATAAGATATGTATATTTTGTGGTTCAAATTTTCTCCTTTTGTTTGAATTTTTTTATTATAAACTGATCTAAATTTTATCCCTAGGGCATGAGGTGTTTAATGACCATGTCATTTACATGAAAGATCTTCAGCTGAAACTTCAAAATGTAAGTTAAATCACAACATAGCACTGAATTTTTTTAGTGGCAAACATATTACAGAGCAGATCCTCCCCCCTCCTCCCCCCCCTTCATTTATTGGGAGCAATTCCACACAGTGTCTGCAGTCAAGAATTTTTTTTTTTTCTACCATTCTTTGTAACATTATTTTATTTCTATATATCATCTTGTGAGGCGTGAGTAGTCCAGTGGTCAGAGTGCAGGATTCTGGGTCAGACAGCCCAGGTTCAAGTCCTGGCTGGGGCACTACGTTGTGGCCTTAAGCAAGTCACTTCACTCACATTGCTTCGTCTTCTCGGATAAGACGTAAAGCCGTAGGTCCCATCTCCTGTAGGGTTTGGGGTGGGATGGGTGGAAGGTGAGATTGCTACATGAACTGAAGTGGCTGCCAAAGGCACCTGATAAAATGCCGATGTCCGATCTCAACCTTACTACTGAAAAGCCCCTTTAGGGGAGCTCCAATTAACGTTGCACTTGCACTTGCACTTGATCTTACTTCATTGAAATGAAGCCTTCAGGTTGTCAAAACTTGCTCTCTAAAATGAAGTTTACATGTAATTCACAAAATTAAAATTTTAGTCACATTGTCAATTAAAATGCCAGTACAAGTTCTCAACAAGACAATGTTGCTTAATTAGTGTTTCTTTTTTGCTTGAAAATTCATGTAAAATTCATGTTTGTGCCATGGTGTAATATTTTCTTCACATTCTCTTTAGACAAGAGAAAGATTTGACACAGCCAAAGAAGAAGCTGAAAGTCTCATGAGTCGAGTTCAACAGGTGAGGGTTTACCTTTCCAATCTAAAGATGTCATTTGTAATTCTCCTTACTATCAGCGTGACAATTCTTATGATGCGAGTTTGAAGAATTTGGTTTTGGATCAACCAACAATTCCTTAATTGATATTTTCTTTATTCTCATCACTTGTCTGCTTGATATTGAATGGATATTATAAGGAGAAATTCTGTCTTGATCAAGCATGGGAGCTCAGGGGTTAAATTGAGCCTTCCTCTTTGAATGCTGTCATACATTGAGAAGTACATAATTATACATTCAGCTCTTGTGTTAGCTTATTTGGTACCTTTTCCTCACCAGTCATTGTCTTATTTTTTTAATTATTTGTTTTGAAGTTGTTTTGTTTGGTTTCTTTTATTCAATACAGAAAGCTGATAGTGGTGAGCTGCACTATCATGGGGCTCATACAAGGCAAGGATACCTGACAGTGCAGAAGAAAGGTAACTTTGATTGAAATTATGAGGGAACTTTCAGATTAGTGCAGTGTCTGCTATTCTTGTTCAGTTGTTTGAGAGCCTAAGTGGGACGTTTTTCTTCCTTTTTTGATTAAATTTGCTTTGAAATTTTGTTGAGTAGATTCTCTTTAATAGTTTTGGTTTTCTGGAGGTTCTTTTGATACGTTCTGGTCAGGTTATAGTATGTTGATTTTAGAGCAATGATTTGGCAAATAGCAAATTAAATCTTCCCTGCGGCAGTTAAGGCAAGTGTTTTAAGTTACAAATAGCTTGGGGTGTGTGGCTAGAATTTCAATTTTTTCCATGAAAATCATGCTTAATTAACCTCTCGTGTAAATGACATTCTGCTCTACAAATGACCATTTCAGGAGGCCTTGGTACTACTTGGCATAAACATTACTGTATGTACACCAAGGAAAACAAAATCCTCACAATGATTCCCTACACACAGACTCAAGGACGACTGGTAGGTGTCAGCGGGGTTGAGTATTCTCCAGGTCTGAGTTGAAGAATATTCTAAATCTTAGCGTGATAATTTTTGGGCAATAGCCCAGGGGTTAAGGGCAGAAGCTGGAGAAATGTGGGTAGCAGCCAGAGAATTTTGGGGTATTAGCTTAAGAATTCTGGCTGGTAGCCAGAAATTCTCTAATCTTTGATTACTGGTATTAATGATCACCCTGGTTGAAAACTGACATTTGTGATGTGATCTGGCCACTTGAGTTTATTTTGCTCTTCTTCTTTGCTTTGAAGTCAACTAATCGTTGTTTTTATGATTATTTCATATTAAATTTTTTTTTGTGGAACTAACAAGTAATTAAGTGAATTTATTTATCTTTCAGAATGCTTCAACAGACACAATTATTGTAACCTCTTGTATCAGGTAGGACAAATGTGCTAATTTATTATCCAACTACACCTAGACGAGTACAAATAATGCCATATACGAGTACAAATATCACGCAGTATTTGTACTCGTTTATTGTAGAGTACCAGTTAAACAGGTTTTCTCGCATTGCACAAGCGAAGAATTGGATTGTAGTTATGAAAAAAAAAGATTGCCATATGTTGCTTAGAATGATTAGGTAAATTAAAATGTCTAGCGACTGGTTTCGATGTGTCCCTGTCATTCCTTTCGACGCCTCGAAGGTGTTCTCGGAATCGGTCACCTAGTCTTCTGCCTGTTTCGCCGATGTATATCTTTTTGCAATAAGTGCAAGTTATGCAGTAGATTACATTGGCGGAGGTGCACGTGAAGTGCATTGAACAGATGAGTGACAAGTATTGAACAGATGAGTGACAAGCTTGGTGTTGATCAGATAATATTCGAAAATAGGTGAAATGCATCGCTAAAAAGTCGGTTTAGCGAGAATATTTTACCATACCGCAAGGATCCGAAGAAAGCATGCAGCGAAAGCAATCGCTTGTCCTTTGAAGGTCTGGGTAAAAGACTGAGCAAAAGCGGCAAAATATATAAAATACTACTTGTAAGGAGCGAATATATGGCACAAAGAGAAAGCTTTCGAAGCAAAACTAAGT